GCAGCAAGTCGAACAACGTAAGGGCAGAGCTGGTCAACGGAACCCCTTCAAACATGTTTCGAAATTCTTGTTTCTTTATAATTGGCACAGCTGATCCAGTGTCGACCAAAAACTTAGCGACATGCACTTCTGAGCTCAAGGCAACTGGCATGACTACTACATCAATGTAAACGCTATTGCGCTTGTCTTTGTGAACAGTGAGTAGGCTAATAATATCTGAGGCATCTTGTTGAGAAACTACCTCTTGTCTGTGAGTCGGGCGTTGTTCTAGTACTGTGGGCCTGCTGTGATACACTCGCATCAAGTGGCCATGGCAACCGCATGCGAAGCAGGGCTCTACTGCTAAGCGGGGCATGCCATCGGTTCACAGTGACATGTGCCGCAATTACCACAACCGATGCAGGCTCTACTGCTAGCGGGGCATGCCATCGGTTCACAGTGACATGCGTCGCAATTACCACAATCCTGTAAATTTTTGCTGTACTGAACATCGGCAGCGTCGGTATCTGAAAATAGCAAGCTCATTTGACGAGTGTGCGGAAAGCTAGGGCGGCTCTGACAAAGAGAGCGTGCCTGGTTGCTGTACCGGTGAATTTCATGCGTGCTTCGTTCGAAAGCATCATACTGGCGTAGATGTTGGCGGGCGAAGCCCTCAACTAAATTTAAAAAAGCTTCCGACTGTAGCTGGGCTCGCTCGTTCAGGAATGCAATTTCAATGGCACGGTAGAATGTCAACGTGCAGCCCTTCAAGAGCAATCGTGACTGCAACTGTGGGGATGCAACTCCAAAGTAATACACTGATTGCACATATTATTGTTGGCTTGCTCGGCAAAACTGCAAGAGGCTGCCTGATCGCAAAGCGCCAGGTCGGAGATGGATTTACCATGTAGCTGACTGCACAGTCAGCTCATCATTAGTACACCAAGTGATGTCGTTCGAGCCTTATGCGACTCGTGTCACGCCGACCAATCACTCTCCTTCCCCCTCTTTATGAACACCACAATAAACATGGGAGAAAGCAGCTTCCTGTCAAGCTCCCTTAAGCTTGGTCCAGAGCCGTCACTATCACACTGTCCGCTGGCCTGTCATCGGGTTATGCCGCGCTTCCACATGCTCTTGCCAGACACAACGAATGGAGACGAGGATAAGATGTGTGCGTATTCACTTGCGCACGGTGTCTAGGGTTCGTACAGGTTTCCAAAGAGAAAATTCAAGTATATTCAAGGGCTTTCCAGTACCTGGTGCAAGTTTTTCAAGGACTCAGAGTGGCATGCCAAGTTGAAATTCTTTCACTCCATAAAATTTCTAAAAATGGCCAAATTAATTGCACTTACAATAAATATATGGCTATCACAATTATAAAAAATGTCTAATCTTTGGTTCTCAAGATCAGGACACAAAATTTACAAAAGCGGCTGAAGATTTTTTCAGTACAGAGGGTTCGCATCGAGTCTTGATGCGCAAGAGGGCAATACAATCGCCGTGCTGTCTCGCTGCCCGAGCTTTAGCATGCAGAAGGTGTTCCGGAGGTCTCTAGACATCCAAGTTGTCGTATATATCGCGGACACAGCGCAAGCAGCAAGTTTTTTGTGTGTGTGGCGAGTGTACGAACCTACAAAATGTTGATTAACTAGCAACTGCGAGGATCTTTCATTGTATAGTGTTACTTACCTTTTATAAAGATTATTAAAAAAAAAGCTTGACACACAATGAAGTCTTACAACAGAGGTTGAGGCTACTCCACTATGACCTCGGTGAAGTTTATCAAGGAGATTCAAACAATCAGCATAATGTCATTTCCCTTACACAAAGACAATCAAATGTATAAGAGGTATGCACGTCATTGACGTCATCTGCAAGGATAGCCAGCAGCGGGTTCACCACTTTGCAAGTTCACACACTGCACGCACAAAAAACATGCAACACATGCTTTCTTTAAGTGTCAGGAAGCTTTCAGGAAAGTGTTTGCTAGAGAGGCTGGAAAGCAATGCGAGCACAGATTTCACCTTCGCCTGGCTCTTTGAGACCCAGCAGCGGCAGCAACATCGCGAGAAGAAAGCATGACCGATGCTTAGAGACGACCTTGGTCAGTTCAGTTAGTGGCCCTCTTCAGCATGTGCTGGACCTTATTTCTTTGCAAGTACTCATGCTACTTCAACAGAGCATTTGCGGTTACCTTGCGTAGGCGCGGTGCTGACGTTTTGCGCAGTTGTGAGAACATTTCAATGCTATCCCAGTGCGCACGCAGTGTCAAATTATGTTTTCGTGCAGTTTCCAGCATGATAATTACTGATGTACACAATGACCTGTAATTTCAAAGTCAGTGGCACATCAGTGGCACTAAATAATTTTTCCTTAACCTCATCCAAGCCACAGGAAAAACGCGGTGGCTTCCCCGGCACGTGTAAAAGCATAGGCGATGCTTAGGTCCCAAATGGCACGAGAAAAACAAACGTGCGCTAGCTGAAGCAGCCATGATTGTTGGCCAGTACATACGTGGTGGATGTCCGGAGGTCACTCACTTCACGACAAATCTAGGGTGACGTCACTGCAACTTTCATTGCCCTTCCTATAGAGCTACGTTAGTGTTGGACGCACTCGAGATGGGCCTAGACTGAGAGAATGAGCATTTAAGTACACCTAGAAAGTGACTTGAAATATATTCTCACAGTTTTGCGAGTCTAACCATTCATGTGGGTGGAGTGTCCTTGCATACAAAGAAAACCCCCATGGCACTTGCAATAACATTGAAATTTGCGCAGTTTACACTTGCGAAGTTTACTTATGCGCAGTTTACACTTGCACCGGGCTGCTGAAACACCAAGTATCAACTGTGACAGTGGTAAACTTACACTAATCCTGTGGATATATGTGTGGTTTTTTCTAGCATCCTTCTTGGTGTTTAAGAGGCACACTTCCAGTGTCAAGCTGTGATTGTTGTTCATTAGCAACCGCCCTGTGCACATTCATTTCGTGCATTTTTTGTGTTTGAGCGGCGCGTTGCACTTATCAAGTTGCTTGCCCTTTTTCTTGTGACATTCTAACTTCTTGCCATCAAATTCATTGCTTTGCCCTCACCATGAGACTAGCCTATTTTTTTCTTGTCCATTTTTGCAAAACGGGACCATTGCGCCCGCGCCACATTACTGCTTCGAAAATGGAGACAGGCTGACATGCCGATCTACCACGTTTAGGAGGTAACAATGTCGATATGAAAGTGCTCCCGAAATTGAAGGATTTTTCAAGGACAGGAAAAAATTTTTCCAGGACTTCAAGGGTGCTTGAAAATTAATTTTTCAAATTCAAGGGTTTTGTAGGTTTTCAAGGACCTGTACGAACCCTCTGGGTTATTCTTTTTGGGGGGAATCTTGACCCCAAACGTAACATAATACTGTGGCACAATTGGCACCTTTACGTCGGCCTTGAGGCAGTGCGAAACCTTTACATCACAGGTGCACAGGGAATAGAATTTGTAACAAACACAACGAACGCATAGGGCAGCAATGAAATGCGGGGGCCAAGACCAACAGACATAAGTTGTACCTTTTTCCTTGCCTTCTTTCTGTGCGGTGGTAAACAGGTCTCATGGCCGCCAGCCTTCACCCAGATGTGCGGTACTATATATGGTGCCTAGAATATATACTTTACAGTACGGCCACAATGACCTGTAAGTGCAGTGGGGAGTGCTCTTATGCAGCACTGCAACTGTCGCTGTAGAAACAGCTGGGTACGCATGTGAATGCGTTCCCAGCTGAATTTGTACGCATTTTTCGGGAGATTCGAGATAGAGTTCGTACAATCGGGAGATTAAGTCAAAATATAAGAGTCTCCCAGACAATGCAAGACAGTTGGCAGGTATGGCATTGTAATGTAGTAGTGTTGAGGGAAATGCCCAAATGAGTAAGAAAACAACAGAATAGGACAAGTGGTACAAAAGCAGGTCAAAGATATACACAAAAACAGTGACAATAACAGGGACTGTGTCAAAACATAATGTTCGTGAAAGCAAGTCATTTCAGGTGATAGTGTTCTGCAAGTGTAGTCTTAGCAGTTGTTAATAATGTTAAAGGCTGCCGAACTGAGAGCAATAGATATAAGTGATAGTGGGATTTAGGCATGAAATACGCCGTGTTCTTTTATACCTGCGATGAGCCAACTTCTGTGTTTGATCAAATATGGGATCACATCTGCAGCTAGGTGGGCTCGTGATTGCAATATGTCTGTGGCATGTTCTCTTAACCTTGTATACAAAACACACTATCTGATTGATTGATTGATATGTGGGGTTTAACGTCCCCAAACCACTATATGATTATGAGAGACGCCGTAGTGGAGGGCTCCGGAAATTTAGGCCACCTGGGGTTCTTTAACGTGCACCCAAATCTGAGCACACAGGCCTACAACATTTCCGCCTCCATCGGAAATGCAGCCGCCGCAGCCGGGATTCGAACCCGCGCCCTGCGGGTCAGCAGCCAAGTACCTTAGCCACTAGACCACCGCGGCAAGGTAAAACACACTATCTGCCCAATAACTGTTCGTGAAGAGAATTTTGTGCACTGTGCATTTGCTTACATGCTTAACGGTGATGGTTGAAAATTTATTTAGCGAAAATTATTTTTCAGCAATCAGACTTGACTTTTACTAGACTTGCACAGACAGTTACCAGCAAGCTTAACACGAATGCTCCTCAGCGTGTCCTGAAACAGTTTGATTGATGCTAGTATCTTTGGGTTCTGTTGCCGAGACCATGATACACTTTCCAAGCATACCGAGGTATTAGGTCAACAACAGCACTCAGCGCAGCTGGTATCAGTTAAACAAGTCCAGGTCATGCTTTGTAGCATTCTTGCTGACGACAGCACATTGTTCAATAAGCCAGGGGCGGATGTGTTTGGCCTGTAGCTTCAAACAACTGACCAATCAATAACCTCCAATCTTACAACATTGCAAGTTTACAGATCAAGGTGTGGCCCTTATTTGAGAAAGCATGTTCACTGCACCTGCCACTGGAGCGTAGACCACCGATGGTGATGGTGGAGCGCTCTTCCAGCCGGTACATGGCCTTGCTGACCGAGTCGACCAGGCCTGTGACGACACCCGCCTCTGTGGCTGCCGACTCCAGTGTGCGCAAGAGCTCTTGCAAGGCATCCCGTGTATTGTCCGCTGCCTCTTCCACGTCTCCATGCACGTGCACTGCCTGCAGAAATGCAAAACTCTATTCAACCATGCTGTGTCACCATAAAAAAGAAAAGATGAAGACTTGATGAGATGAAAAATCCATGAATATTTAGTGCCTCTCGAGCCGATGTTTCAACATGTGGACCTCAGTGGTGACCTTGAAGAAACGTTCACGTGTTGACATGTCTACTTCACCGACACCCTGTGCTCACAAATTTTACGGCCTCTTACACAACATGGTAAAGTAAAACATTTTATTGAAATTGCGAAAACAACCAGACAAAAATCGAGATAACCAAACTGGTCAAAATCAAGTTTGCCAGCCATGTGTAGAACAAGCAACAAGCAATACTCATTGCAATACTGTAAAAACCTGTGCATAGTCAGGACCTGCATAGAGTTTGAGAGGTATTTTAGAGTTCGAGAGGTATTTCAGGGATAGGAAATGCAAGGATAAAGTTTTCACACTAACATAGCCAGAGAAAAACCGAAACTGAATACAGTTGACCTTATTTATAACAAAATAATCAATCGTTATATATGAATTCACTTGTTCTTAGACACTTCACGTGTGAGGCAACAATGCATAGGTGTCTATAGAAGAGTCCGAGAAACTGAATGCGCTCCTCAGGCAAGTTGCCAAGAAGGTCCTGGGCCTACCCACACACACCAGCACCGAGCGTCTACTGAAGCTTGGCATTCACAACACGATAAAAAAAAAATGACAGAAGCCCAAGAGAGAGCAGAGTTTGCAAGGTTATCGACAACAATCACAGAGAAAATGATCCTGCAAGAGCTGGGCCAGCACTCAATAGTGATTAGGCTCAAGTTCAATGATATCCCCGATAACATTAGAGAAAATATCACGGTATCTCCTATCCCCCAAAACATGCATCAGGAGCACAGCACAACATTGCATGAAGACTAGCGAGGGCCAGGACTACACTTTGTCAAGTCTTAAACGAGAAAGGAGGGGCCGTCTTTGTTGACGCGGCTTCCTAGATTGATTGATATGTGGGGTTTAACGTCCCAAAACCACTATATGATTATGAGAGACGCCGTAGTGGAGGGCTCCGGAAATTTAGACCACCTGGGGTTCTTTAACGTGCACCCAAATCTGAGCACATGGGCCTACAACATTTCCGCCTCCATCGGAAATGCAGCCGCCGCAGCCGGGATTCGAACCCGCGCCCTGCGGGTCAGCAGCCGAGTACCCTAGCCACTAGACCACCGCGGCGGGGCGACGCGGCTTCCTAGGCCAATAGGAAAGCTTTTGTGGCCATAGCGGTTGATGAGGCTGACCGTGTCGTCAGCTCGGCGACGGTCAGGACGAAAGACATATTCATTGCTGAACAGGCTGCCATCGCTTTAGCACTCAGGATGGATAACATGAAGTCATCCACAGTGATTCCAGTGCAATACTATGGGCCTTTGCAAAGGGTAAGGTGTCATGACAAACACTGAGATTACTACAGGACAAGAACATTACACATCATCTTCTGAGGTGGTTCCCAGCTCACCTCGAACAAATCAACGACAGCCCTCCCAATATCAATGAAGCAGCACATGAGGCAGCGCGACACCTGCTCAACCACACCTCCCCAAGCATGCGTTCTACTGGTGAAGGGGATAGCTGGGAAATTCTCACAACATGTAATGAGCTCACAAAACATTTCTACCTGTCCATAAGCATTTTTTTTTCCACCTCCCAAAAATCTAACTTGGCTCCAAGCACTTACATTGAGGCTATTGTAAACCCAGACGTACACTACTTTAAAAATGTGACACATCACGTACCCTGAATTAAACACAAGTGTCACGAAAGATGCAACTGGGAACGTTTTGTTTGAGTCAAGCAGGACTAGCGCATGAAGCGGGGCTTAAGATGGTTGGCACAGAAACACCCTTCATTACACACTCAAACACATACAGTAAACACAGAAGACTAACAATCTCTAGAATCGATTCGGTACCCCAAAACACAATACAGTCGAGCCCACATATAATGGCCCCACTTAAAACAAACTTTCCCTCAAAACGAACAATACCCGCATGACCGTAAAAATATACATTGGTTCAATGGAATTGAATCGCACTTACAACGAACGTCTCGGAGCACCGCTGATTGGTTACAGCGAACTGAGTCAGCGGTTCGCTGACTTCCCGGGAAACCAATTTCGACCACCGATTAGGCATCGGCGAGGTGCCCATACATTCTTATTGTTAAACGCCGACCCTGCCTCCGCGCCCCTCTAGTTGCCGCTCTCCACGACCACTTTTTGTTACGCACCCCTCCGTGCTTTGTCCCCCTGCTACTCTGAGCACCCCGCATCGCCAGACGAGGCTTGTGTTTTCACACTGTCGCCGACCTATTGAAGACCGGTTGGCTGTCTACCCTGTTTTAATTCGCTGGTACTGTCGTTGGCCCTGCCGGCATGGAGTGACCAGACCATTTGCCAACATCGTCAGCCACCGACAGTATCTGATAGTCTGCATCTAGTGCACGCGCGTACGCTACCTCACCGACTCTGATAATTTGCGATTCGTTTCGCGTTTAGGACTTGTTCTCGCTCACTTCACACTCGACTCAGCATGCCTTCGTGCGCGTGCTGAAACACGAAAATGGCTGTTCATTTGCGCGGAACGAATCGCGAAATATCGAAGTTTGTAAGGCCACGCTGTGGGGGTGCTGACACCCCCTGTAAAGTTGTTTGCGCCGCGTAGTGCACGTGTCTTGCACAGAAGTCATATTTCAGGGGTGACAATCGCTGGACGATAGATGGCGTTGAGTACCACTGTTTGTAGAGTGGTAGCGCCGGCGGTGACCCCTGGCGGAAGGCAGGCCTTTGTGGCGGGCGAGAGTTGAGCAAGTCTCTTCGGCGTGTGGCTGTTGCCGTGAACGGTTTTCTATAGCGTGGGTCCTCGGCGGGGGGGGGGGGGGGGGGGCACCGCGGGCCTGCGCGTCGGGGGGCCCTCGTGATAAGTCAAGCGTTGGCGACGCCACCTTGGGTGTGTTATTGTGTGTTTGCCATGTTTTGGAGTGTATAGAAATTGTGTGTAAGGATGTCTTAGCGTGTTGAGAATGACTGATGTATCATTCGGCGGACGATATCGTTGTTGTAAATTAGTTAAATAAATGTATGTATATTGTGTTTGTTTGCCGCAACGGCGTCTACTGTGTCCGTTCAATCCAAGAGCGTGGCGTGGCATTCGCTCGCCATTTCGAGACCTTACAACGCAAACCCACCGGCTCAACAAAACGATTTTTTGACCACGGCCGCCAATTCTTCGAACACCGCCGCGTGCACTGATTCAGGCGGCCATGCACTCTTTCCAAGTTTTTCTACATGCAAGTTTCGGGGACCTTTCAAGCAAGCTACCCAACCTGGCTCCTTACCGTGTGTTTTGATTTTCAAGGTCACCCTCCCACTGTATCCTCCTTTCTCTTTATTGCGACTCCTTGCCCTTCTCTCGCAAGTCTGCCACAACCCCTTCGCCCGTCTCCACCACTGCGCGACGCCCGCCACGCTGGCTCGAATTATTTTCATTTTCTGACTCGAAACGAACCCACAGCTGCTCCATGCATTCTGGCATGTGTGTCGCGTGTGCTCATCTTGCTCGCTCTTGGTGTGTGTGTGTGTGGTCATTATGGCAGACGGGGGAACCAGAACGCTTTTTTGTGCCACTCAGCAAAACCTCGAAAGTGTGACCGCTTGGCTTGAGCGTAATTCACGCGTTAGGTGCCAGGTTGCGGAGCGCTTGCTCATAGCTGTTGACCACCTGGCAGCCAACTTGCCGCTTCGGGCGTCCCGGTATTCAGCTGTGGAGATGGTGAATAATTCCTGGGCGGCGGTGACGACTACATGCGCGCTAAACTGTTTTTGCAAGGCCGACTTGGTCGACGACGGGCCCGATGCCAAGCCGGACGCTTCCGAACAGAACCACTGAGGCGGCGATTTGTGGCAGCGCGTCGTCAACTCCGACCTGGGAGAGCGGCTGGGACATCTGCTGCAAGGATTTAATTACCGCCGATGATGATGCCCACACTGGAAAACCGTGCACAGATTAGGGCATAGTGAATGAAGTACATGGTGAGAACGATTTGGAGGAATCGGATTGCGAGAACGTCGAAACTTTGGAGCTGGTGCCTCATGCAACTTATGCCACGGGCCTCGGCAAACGAGCCCTCTGCCGTTTTAAATGAACTCCAGACCGCCTTCATCGCTTTTGTTCTTTGAAACACGTGCATCATGGACTTTTTGGGGCAAACAAAGTTTGTGTTTTCACTCGTAACTTTTTTTTTAAAAGCTCCGTTTCATTTACTACGAACTTCGAGATACAGCGAACAAATGCCACGTCACGCTCAGGCTCGTTATAAGCGGGCTTGACTGTAGTTAAAATGTCCCACTATGCGCGAGTCTTACGTGCGTCTCTATAGTCCCTCCCACTCAGCCACTAACATCTCTAGGACGAACGGGATGTAAGGTGTCGTCCACTGACACTGGAGCGTCGCTCATCGCATCTGTCCAAGCTGTTGCTTCTGCTGGTGTGAAAGGACCCTTCCGTAAAACAGGCAACGTACGCGACGTCGTTCCTATTCTGTGGTGCAGCTCACAGTTCTGGCAGAAACTCCGGGCACCTCCAAGACCGCCCTGGCTCATGTGCTGTTGACATGGCAGGAGGGCGTTCGCGAGCCTGGGCTTGTTGAAAGTAGGCGACGTGACGCTAATCTGTTTCCGCCGCTCGCTGCACCCCTTACTAGCTCGAGGACTGGAGCCACGAAGATAAAAGCTCGCCGAGGTACAAACTCAGGGGGCTCTTGAAGAATCCCATTCCTGGGGCAGAACCCAGGCTGCCTCGAACATCTGCCATCTTCTTCATCGTCCACGCCATACTTCTCCTGTGCGTGCGCTCGTCCAACCTCTCGTGTTTGCGCGCAGTCTTTTTTTTTCTCTTTCTATTTGTTCTCTTGTTCGGGTTCAGTACGTTTATTTTGTTCTTTTTCCTCTTCTGCCATTT